AAATTCCATGCACTTTTTTCACCATGGACAAAGCAGAGAAAAAAATTTTTTTTAATGTTAAAAAATCTACATACTGGGACGGGCACGGTGGCTCACGCCTGTAATCCCAGCACTTTGGGAGGCCGAGGTGGGCGGATCACGAGGTCAAGAGATCGAGACCATCCTGGCCAACATGGTGAAACCCTGTCTACTAAAAATACAAAAATTAGCTGGGCGTGGTGGCACACACCTGTGGTCCCAGCTACTCGGGAGGCTGAGGCAGAAGAATTGCTTGAACCCAGGAGACAGAGGTTGCAGTGAGTCATGATTGCACCACTGCATTCCAGCCTGGCGACAGAGCAAGACTCCGTCTAAAAAAAATAAAAATAAATAAATAAATCTACATACTGTATGCAATCTTTTAACTGCAATGTAGCTTTGCAAGCAGCGTGCTTATAGGAGTAATCAAAAATAAAAAATAAAAAAACAAAAACAAAATACAGAGAAAGAGAAAAGGCAAAGGTGACAAAATATTAACAAGCAGCAAATCCAAGTGAAAGGTATGTTGAGTGTTCACTGGACCACAATTAATTTTTCTTTTTCTTTTTTCTTTTTTTTTGAGATGGAGTCTCACTCTGCTGCCCAAGCTGGAGTGCAGTGGCGTGGTCTTGGTTCACTACAACCTCTACCCCCAAATTCAAGCAATTCTCCTACCTCAGCCTCCCAAGTAGTTGGGATACAGGCACCTGCCAACACGCCCAACTAATTTTTGTATTTTTAGTATAGACAGGGTTTCACCATGTTGGCTAGGCTGGGCTCAAACTCCTGACCTCAAGTGATCTGCCTGTCTCAGCCTCCCAAGGTGCTGGGATTACAGGTGTGAGCCACCGCCCTGCTGTGCAATTAACTTTTCTAATATAGGTTTAAGTTTTTCCAATACAAAAAACTGGAGAGACAGAAATGAGATAATTTCCTTGGTGGTCTCACCAAGTTTAGGAATCAAAAATGTCCTTAAAAACTAATGAGAAAAGCCTGAAGAAGGTGCCATTTTCATTGTTTCAATAAATAAAGCAAATATCCAAATCTACATGTTATAGAGCAATTAACACTCTACAATTATATTTCTCTCTCAGAAAATAGAAAATACAAAAATTCCTATAAAAATACTAATTTTCTGATTCGCCCTTAAAAGCCTTTCGTTCTATGGACAATTACCATTACTTTTAGATCTGCACTGTTCTCTAACTCTTGTTAATCAACGTGTGGTCTGGTGGAACAATATCACAGCATCATCTATGCACTTGTAAGAAATGCAGAATCTCTGAATCCAACCCAACCCTGCAGAATCAGAAACTGCACCTTAGTAAGAAACACAGGTAACTTGAAAGCACATTAAAGTTTGAAAAATCACTACTGCAGAACATTAAAATGCATTTACTATAAACATCATAAACCTATTCAAATCAGAAACATTAAAGTCAGTTAAAAATCAGAGGAAATATGTCTGTTTGAAAACTTTTTAACAGTGTTTTTTCCAAGAATTTAGTCTGAACTACAAAGTAATCCAAATGTGTGTTTGTGGCAGAGGCAAGGAGATCTCTTACAATCTTTGATATTGCACAAAATCTAATCAAAATCTATTAATACCTTTGAAAACAACTGTAAAAGAAATTCTAAGAAGTCTGGTTAAAATACCAACATTATTTGGCATAGTCAATACAATACCACAGAAGATAAATGCAGACATACCAAGTGACACAAAATTGTTACTCAATACATCCAATCTGTTAAACGAATGAACTATTTTCTACAACTTTTAAAAACTGCTTCGTCACTAAAAGCACTGCTTTTCTGCCTCAAAATTAACACTTACCCGGTTTCATTATAATCAATCAAGAATCACAAGGCAGTAAAATAGAGGTGGGCCTAAACCAGTCAGTACATGCAATCAAATAAACACCTGAAGATAACCTTTGAGGTAAGCTAGGTCCTTATGCTCCCCTAAATGAGCATATATTAGTATACACTCATTTTTCTATAAAAGTTTTTTTTTATAAAAAATATCTGAGCAATAATTTTTTTCTATTAAAAAAATCTGGGCAATAATTTTCCTCTAACAGGCCAGGATCAGAAAGACTAAGTAAGAACAGCTGAAAGAAACACACAGGTAGCTTGAATAAATTCTAAATGTTCTCTACAATTTTCTTATGAACTATAAGAGTCTTTTTTTAATTTGATTTCTCTAATAAACTTTTCTACTAGGAAGAAAATGTATGACCTACTAAGGATCCCAAAGAGTTTATATTTATATGGATTATATTACTGATATTTACTACACTAGAAATTAGAGATGAAACATTTAAAAACATTAATTCGGCCAGGCGCAGCATCTCACGCCTCTAATCCCAGCACTTGGAGGTGCATGCCACCACAGCTGGCTAATTTTATTTATTTATTTGTTTGTTTATCTTTAAAGACAGAGTCTTGCCCTGTCATCCAGGATGAAGTGTAGTTGTCTGATCATAGCTCACTGAAGACTCGAATTCCTGGGCTCAAGTGATCCTCCTGCCTCAGCCTCCCAAGTAGCTAGGACTACAGCGGGACACCACTGTGCCCAGCTAATTTTTAAACTTTTTGTAGAGATGGGGTCTCACTGTTCTCAAACTCCTGGGCTCAAGCAATTTAATCCTCCTTCCTCGACCTCCCAATGTGCCAGGATTGCAGGTGTGAAGTATCGTGCCCATCCAGTTTATCGTAATTAATAATGTGGAATCTGAAACATTATCAAAGAATATTTTAAACTGTTACATTAAAATCTCTTATTCTAATGTTGCACTTTGAAGGGATGTTTTTGTACACATGCACTTTTAATGGGTGTTTTTACACATGCATAATCTTGTAACATCAAGCACTGGTAATCTGGAAATGTTGACTGATTTACATAGATTTCCAAATGTTGACACTTTCCACTATGTGAAAATTTTAAGATATTAGGTGTTAAAATGACCACCAATCTCTTCAGAAAATTATTTAAGAATAATAAAGCTTTCAAGTTCACAGTGGCAGCATGTTTTCCAAAATTCTAATTTTCACTTAAAAGTTCAAATTTTACCATTAACAACAAATACTATCACTTGTTTTCTCTGCAATGAGAGGTTCACTTTATTCTTTTTCAAGAAAATGTCTGACAAATAACAAAGTCTCAACAACCACAGTTTGTCTGTCAATCATTCTTTCAAGTTAAATGGTGTTTCATGAAATAAGTGGCCAGTTCAGTTGGCAACCAAACAATGGCACAAGTGCTTTTCCTCAAGACAACCATACTTGGCATGCAACAGAATAGCTTTATGTGTACTTCCCATTCCATCATGCAGGTTACTAAAAAGACATGTACTTAAGGTTAAAGGTTATGGGAAGAAATGCCAGATATAGGTGATGGGGAGGAAGGCAGCAAATCACACTGCCATGTGTGTACCTATGCAACAATCTTGCATGTTCTTCACATGTACCCCAAAACCTAAAATGCAATTAAAAAAAAAGAGTAAAGGCTGTGCTAAGGTGCCCACAGTTTTAACCACCACTGTTTTTGCGTATCAGTGTAAATGTTAACACAATGGGAAGGGGCAATAACATCTTGATATTATTATATCATGAAAAGAGATTTGACCTGATGAATCCATTGAAAGGGTTTCAGGACCCAGCACACAGAAAAATCTCCATATTTGTTGAATGAATGAATGAGTGAAGAAATAAATAAACAAACAGCTATGATGTATTTTAATCTAGATTTCAAAGTATTTTAGTTTATTTTTCACACACACAAAAATCTAATTATTGAAATTATTTTCCAACATTAACAGTAAAGACTTGTCAGGCAATATAGCACCTCTATCCTTAATATGTTTGAAGTAGTTTTATCTCCACACCTCTCTAAACTTAAATTGTTGTATATGCAAGCATTCCTTGCTTTGCATGTAACACGGTAACTGAAATTCATCCATACCAGAACTATGTGCTCTATCTGTACTATTCTTTGATAACTAAGGTGTTTAGCAACATGGTATTGTGCAAAGCACATTATAAATGTATATGGAAATGAGCTCTAATGACCCACAAACTCAAATTCAGTGAAACAGGAAGGAAAAGCATCATATGAAGAATGAATGAGCACCCTTTGGGCAGTAACTATGAATGGACAGCCCTAATGGGAAAGAAACTCAGACACCTAAAAGACTTTTTCAAACTCTACATGCCTCTCTCCAACCCCTCTAAGGAATCACTGTTTGTGATCAACTAATCTAAGTGTTTCCAATCACAAAATCCAAATGGTGTCTGAATTGGGGGTGGGGAACAGAGCAGAAGCAAGGTGGTTTGGGGAATGAGAGACCAGCACTTCATAAAATATTAAGACAAAATTAGGTCACACTAAATTTAGTCTGGTCTTAAAAACTACAAGAACGAACATTTCTCAAAACAGAGGTAGGTCAAATCTTTGGATTTCCATCTCCTAACCCTTTTCTTAATTCAATCAAAATGACCTTAGAATTACATCGACATGCGGGATTTTTGTTCTTTATAGCTGACTTTAAAAAATTTACACCAACTTTCAAAACCTTCATAAATTTTATTTTTTATAGAGGCAGGGTCTCCCTATGTTGCCCAGGCTGGTCTCGAGCTTCTGGGCTCACAAGATCTTCCCACCTTAGCCTCCCAAAGTGAGAGGATTACAAGCATGAGCCACCACACCCGGCTCAAAAACTCATAAATTTTAAACAGCGTATCCAGCTCTAATTAAGAAAAGGAGTTTATACATTAAAAGTTTAAGTGTTTCTGCCAAGAGTCAGGAAAAAATTGAAAAGTATCTTATAGACAAATACTCACTGAAGCTTAGCAACTAAAAGAGTATCATGGGAAAAGAATAAATAACTTCGCTTAACAACAACAATAAAAAGAAACAAAATTCTACTCTATATACTGTGTATTACGAAGGGGACAAAGGGGAAATGCTATTTAAACTATACCTTAAAATGTACTGTGATGTTCCAAGGAAGAGCTGAACTTGATGCAAGAAGATCAAATAGCAAACCAATTGGATAATGCCTAAAAATGAAAGAGTATATTTTGAGAAAATAAACATGTAAAGGTATAACTACAACTCCAAAATAAATTTCCAACACATATTTTAACACCAAATGTCAGGGGCTTTAATCACAAATCACAGGAAAGCTACATTCTATAGTGACATGCCTGGGCTAGTATGATATATTTTCCAGGCATCAGGTAGTTTTCTTCTAACCACTTCATTTCCACAGAAACCTCAATATGCACAATGGGACTGTGGGCAAAGGCATTCTTTATCAGCCATGTGCACTCTGTTATGTCACAGTACTGCTGCATCTAATTATCATCCCAGTATTCATAAAGGACAATTGGTGTTTGTAAATTTATTTAAATATGCTTTGTACTTTTACAACTTAAAATTTTAAAAAACTGTTAAGAACCAAGATGAGCACCTAAAAAACATGCAAATCACCTATTCTGTGGTTATTACTATTATTATAGCATATAAATTTCCAGTCTTTTACTTATACATACATCTCTAAGTACAGATTAGGACTATCCTTTACAAACTGTACTATAACCTTTTTCACATAATATAATGTCAACATTTTCCTAAGTCATTGAATATTTTTCGGAAACCTAACTCTAAAGTTAAAAAAATAAATTCTGAAGTAAGAGAACATTTCCTAATATAACTATTACTCTCAGTGAAGTAAATTACTTAGCAATAAATAAACATGACTAACACAAACGAACAAAACTTTAGTCATCCTTTAAAAAAATCTAAAGTGAATTAAGCTTACTTGGTTAATCAGAATTAAATAATACAGGTTGAATAGCCCATTTCTAAAATACTTCAGATCAGAAGTGTTTCAGATTTCAGCTCTTTTTTTTCAATTTTGGGAATATATGCATTACATTTTTACTATCTGAGCATCGCAAATCTGGAAATCTGAATGCTGGAATGAGCACTTCCTTTGAGTGTCATGTCGGTGCTCAAAAGCTTTTGGATTTTGTAGTTTTAGATTCTTGATTTCAGATTGTGGAATTTGGGATGCTCAACCTGTACTCACAACAAAGGCAAAAAGAAGACTACTCTTGATGTCATACATAGTTCTGTCTTTATCTGTATATTATGTTAATGAGTTACTCCTAGAATTAAGACCTGCAAAATTTGAAAACACACCAATTGTTTATATAAATTGTGTGTGTGTGTGATTTATTCTTGCTTACGTTTGCCTAATTATGAAAAAGTTATCAGTTTCTACAGATCATATATTTATTTGGTAGGAATTTGGGATGAGTCAGGTGCAGTAACACAAGACTGTAATCCCAAGACTTTGGGAGGCCAAGGTGGGTGGATCTCTTGACCTGAGGTCAGGAGTTCCACACCAGTTCAAGTACTTGAGAACGACATGATGAAACCCTGTCTCTACCCAAAAATAAAAATAAAATTTAAAAAAAATTAGCCGGGCATAGTGGCACACACCTGTAGCCCTAGCTACTCAGGAGGCTGCAGCGGGAGAATTTCTTGAGCCCAGGAGGCAGGGGTTGCAGTGGGCCAAGACTGTACCACTGCACTCCAGCCTGAACAACAGAGACTTTGTCTCGAGATTTAAAAAAAAAAAAAAAAAAAAAAGAATTTACCTGTTGGTAAAAATAAAACAGTACGGGTACTTTTAGTCTTATATGTGTTATATCTCTTCATAATAACCCTTAAATTTCTCTCTAATCAATCCTTACATATGAAGAAAATAATACAGAAGAAAATTCTGGAACCAGGAAAAATTCTGGCCTCAGTCAAAACCTAAAATTAAAATACACACACACACACACACACACACACACACACACACACACACACAAAGCATTATAGACAAGTTACAGATTCAATCCAATTCTGATCCTTCTCTCTGAAGTATTACGATTGTACAAGCTCTAAACAATGCCTTATACTTTTACAAAACAGACATTTTAATGTCTTCAATTTATTTTTTAGAACATCTCTCTTAGGTATCTGCAATAGGGTTAAAGATGAATATAGGCACTTAATTAAAGTTTGATTTACTTGGATTTCATTAAAAAAAATTTAAAATTTCAAAAGCAACAGAATATTGCTTTCCAAATTCTAAACAGCACTGAGAATACAATTACAAAGAATTCCACCAAGCAAAATAAATAGACAATCTATTAGATAAGATTCACTAGAGATCACATAAAATGACTAGCAAACCAGTTTACACATTCCCCGACATTAACAAATATGTGAAACACTTTTGTGAATTTGTAAGCCAATTCTAAACCAAATATCGTATCTTAAAGCAATCTGTAATATAAAAGCAAATAACTTTCTTTTTCTTTTTTTTTTTTTTTTTTGAGACAGGGTCTTACTCTGCAACCAAGGCTGGAGTGTTGTGGTATGGTCAGAGCTCACTGCAACCTTGACCTCCAGGATTCAAGTAACTCCCACCTCAGCATCCTGAGTGGCTGATTACAGGCCTGATTACAGGCATGTCCCACTGTGCCTGGCTAATTATTTTATTTTTATAGAGATAGGGTCCTACTATGGTGCCCAGGCTGGTCTCAAACTTCTGGGCTCAAGCAATCCTCCCACCTTGGCCACCCAAAGTAATGGGATTATAGGTGTGAGCCACTGTGCCCAGCCCAAATAACTTTTAAAGTAAATACCTAGATCAGAGTTAAAGTTAAACGTAAGACTCAATCATCAATTATTTTTTACCCTCAATATTTAAAAGATGAGGAAACTGTAAGTACAGAGAACATTAAACAAAGCAGATAATAAATAGCTGTTGGACACATAAATCATCGAAGTCCACAGACTAACCCTAGGTACAAAATAAAGATCCAATGGAGCCAATTTTAGGTTCTGAGTTTCTTTTTTCAGCAGTTCTATTTTAATGATTGATACTTCATGACTTTTATTCATTCTTAAAGGTACTCCAAAAAACAGAAAAAACTCATTAAAAAAAAAAAAAAAAGATAAAACTTAACTCCATCTAGTGATTACCATATGGATCCACTGGATTCTTTTATAATTCTAAGATATATTTTAGGGTCTTAATGATCTTATTGTTTCCTGTATATTGAAACATTTACTATTTCATCAGTCTACAACTTATCTGTCATCATTATTTGTCAATTATTCCCAATTATACTAAAAAAGACTAAAACAGAATTTGAAAAAATAACGTGATGCCTAGAAGGATGATACAAGAATGTACCCTGCTTTCATTTTCTTAGTGTGCTGCCTAAAGTATTGAAACATCTTTCAAGAAAGTGTAAAATAAGAATGCAGGCTGGGCACAGTGGCTTAAGCCTGTAATCCCAGCACTTTGGGAGGCCAAGGCACGTGGATCACCTAACATGAAGAATTCGAGACAAGCCTGACCAATAAATATGGTGAAACCACATCTCTACTAAAAATACAAAAATTACCTGGTCATAGTGGCATGCACTTGTAGTCTCAGCTACTCGGGAGGCCGAGACAAGTGAATTACTTGAACCTAGGAGGTAGAGATTGCAGTGAGACAAGATCGTGCTACTGCACTCCAGCCTGGGTGACAGAGTGAGACTCTGTCTCAGAAAAAAAAAAAAGAATGCAGACCCCATTCTGGAGTCAGCTTTTAGCTATCACTAACAGAGTTGAAAATCCCAAGTTTCTCATTTTCTACCTATAATGGCAGAGAAAAAAACCGACAGAGAAAGATGTTCCACAATTACTAGATAAATCAGGATAAAATACAAAGAGAGACAGCAGTATTTGAGACTTTAATGACAATAGTGAAATTGATCATTTAAGTAAAATAACTCTGAGTCTTTAGATGATATCCTAATTTTTACAGAGCTCAAGAACTAATAGAAGAACAATATATTTCTAAGGACAAAAGGAACATACGGTAATCTTAATAGCTTGTTATCAACAAAAAAGACTTCACGACATGATATTTTAAGACAAAAACCTGGACCATTCCATTTTACTAAAAGATGTGTCACAATATTATTCCATCTTTTATGCTATTTGCATACCCAAAGTTATTTGGTAGTGGGCAAATGCAAAGGGCATATTTACATACAAAGACTGAAGGAATTAGATCTTGTGGAAATGAAAAAGAAGTACTGATCAGTTTAATTGGTGTTTATTCACATAAAAAAGAAAATATTTTACAATGAAACCATGAGCTGTCAAAGGTTTTAAAAGTTCCAAGTATTATTAATATGATAGATGCAAGAAGAGCCAGAAGTAATAAGATAGAACCTCTCAGAGGTATATCTGAATGTATAAAATATAATGAGCAATTAGCCGCATTCAGGGGATGCTGATCGTTTTAGATACCTTAAAACAAGGAAAACATGAAATGAAAATGTGAATTCTCTCTATTTAAACATGTATTAAAATTTCTAATAAAGGTGTCATATACTATTCCTTTAACTTTTCTAAATTATTTGCAAACTGACTTAAAATATATATAATACATATTATATATTTTTATAATTATATAACCATATATGTAATTATATATAATATATATAACTATATATTTATATATAACATACAAGTATGTATATATATATATATATATATATATATATATATATATATATATATATATACACACACACAAAATCTTTTTTAAAAGTTCATTGGGGCTGGGCATGGTAGCTCATGCCTGTAATCCCAGCACTTTGGGAGGCTGAGGTGGGTAAACTGCTTGAGCCCAGGAGTTTGACACCAGCCTAGGCAACATGGCAAAACCCTGTCTCTACAAAAAATACAAAAAAAAAAATTATCCAGGCATGGTCTGTACTCAACAGAGTGAGACCCTGTCAAAATCTTTAAAGATTTTTAAAATTTTCATTGGTCCCAGATGGTAAATGATGATGACTCCTTTGTCTTGATATATAAAGAATTAGGAGACAAATTGAAACAAATGCTTCCTTAAAATTAAATTTAAATTAGCCAGGCGTGATGGTATATGTCTGTAATCCCAGCTACTCAGGAGGCTGAGGAAAGAGAAGTG